GAGTTAGTGGTTAAAATGTGCCGACAGCTAAACGAGGCAAAAAACATATTTTATGTCATTTGTGCCATTTTTCCCAACGTAACCGCAGCCATCTGCACATCACATTGATGAGTGTCGGGACCAAGATGGCGACTGGACCAGTCGGTGTGTGATGTAGCTGAGACACACATTTCAATTTTCACTCTTCTTTGCCAACATAATGTTCTCTTTTTGATCTAGGAATGTCTGTAACTTCTATTTTTTGTTCTATTCAACCTGACCAAGAGTGACATTGTTGCTAAGACTGCGATCAAGGACGATAAAATGTTAGCAGCTAACAAGCTAACCTATGAGTTCAACGGTCATCTTCCAGAACCTAACGTATTCTGCGATGCAACGGTTGAAGCACAGCTTTAAAAGGAAAGAGAAGGGGAAAACTAAAGCCGTTTTCGCACTGCAAGGAACGGAACGGCAGGCTTCGGTCCGGTTCCACCCGAACTGCAGCCCTGTTGTGTTTGCATATAACTGAGGGCGGCATCGAAGCTGTACCTGACGTCATTATTTTTGAAACTAAACAATGGTATCGATGTAACGGCTGAAGCCTTTTCCTCAGAGATAAAAATGCGGCTATATATTCTATGTTAATATGTTTTGACAGGTAAAAATAGTCCGTGTAGGACCAGAATTATTTGCCTAACGGTGGCTCGGGCTTCTAAGGAAAGAAATTAAAGTGTAGATGTCCGTTAGACAACAAGCGCAGTGCGCTGGACAATAAATGCGCATGCTCCACCGTTACGCCCCCAAATATACAGTTACACTGCTTATGTTAATGGTGGTCTAAAAACGAAACCAGTAAAAACTTAACTGAAGTAATATGTCAGATCCCCTCCTCACCCTCGTCTTGATAAGAACAGAGAGCAGTCCACTGGTTTCGTGTCCAGACTGTGATAAAGCGCAGCTGACCACTTGGTGCGCAGACAATTTCAACTTTACGCACAGAGAACATCGCGGAGATCATTATTAATCATGTGAAGAACAATTTCTGTCAGAGAATCATCTCTGATCGGGACACTTTAACGGACCAGAGCTCTAGCGCAGCTGATCCGCTTCTGCGGGGTTTTCTGACCATCTGTCATACCCGTCAAGCCAACATATTTTTGTGGTAATGCGCATGCGCACATATATGTTACGTCACATACTGCTTACTCAGCAGATTTCTTATAAATCCGTCATACCTGTGTGTTATGTTTCTCAGAAGTTTACGGTAAATTTTATTTAATTAAGCCGCTATGTTAATCAAACATATTAACATAAATGACTTTTGCTGTTTCCAATGTCGTTACCATACTGTAAACAAGACATTAGTCCAGTTTAGCGTCACTATTACTACAAATACTGTTTGACTACAAATTTGGTCGGGATATTTTGTCCCTAT